CCGCGCGGCGGGGCCGGTGACGGGAGGCGCTGACGGCGCCTACGTGTCACCATGGAAACCAAACAGTAAACAGAGGATTCGGGAGCTCCTGACGCGGCCTGACCGGACGACCTGCCCTGGAGCAAAGGGCCAGAAGCTGGGGAGGGCCGGGCGGAACCTGGACCTAGCGCCCCTTCCGGGAGGTCCCGGGGAGTCAGCTCGACCTCTTGCAACCCAGGAGCCAGCAGGGACAGGTCGGGAATAGAAAGGAGCGCTCCTGGATGGAAAGCCTGCCTGAGATTTGTTTTGTGTTTTTGTGTTTGTTTTGTTTTGTTTTGTTTTGTTTTTGAAGAGCTTCCATTGGCCTCCAAGGTTGTTGGGGATATTGGTTTTGCTTTGTTTTTCTCTAACTAGTGGCTAAGAAGTCAGGCTTTGGAGCCACGGTGCCCGGACTTCAACTCTAGCTCCCCCACTCTGGTTTGGATGATCTTGAGCAGATGACAATCCTGTGCCCCGACACTTGGTTATCTAGAAAACAAGGAGAATAGCAGGACTTCCCTGCTAGCGTGGTATTAATGCATTAATATAGATGTGTGTGTAACTGTCTAGCACATGTTTTAGTCTTACAATGAACAATTTTAAAAGAACTTCCCACTCTAAAGTTAGTATTACGGTTTCATAAAATACGTCACGTGTTAACTGAAATGGGCTCTTACCAAATAAAAACATTGCTTGTCTCAGTTTGCACTGCTTCGCGGTTTTAATTTTGAAACACAAAAACTCCAAATGGTATATAGACTAACAGAACTTAAGGACCTCAACTTCCGTTTCTTTGTCTTTCAGGCCATTGTGCTGTCTTCTCTTCAGATCTGCTGTTTAAACACTGTGTTGTGTGCTACCAGAGTCAGACACTGCATTCAAAATGATCACAGCGATTCTGAACCATTACAGACCTTTAAAGTGGAGGCACGTAGCAGAGTCCGTGTGTTGGGAACCAGCTGTTTGTGTAATTGGGAATTACTTCCATGTAGAATACATTGCTTTAAATGGTAAGTAATTTTTAAATGAAGCTCACATATACATTAAAAAAAAAAAAGTTCAACAGTAATCCCAGCAACTGTTTAGAACATAAAACAAGATTTTTTTCAGAAGGGTTTTGTCACTGACAACATCTAGAATTGCCAATTTATGGTGTTTTGCTACTACGTTTAAATTCTCAGCAGGTGTTGTGACCCCTTGTGGATGACCAACCCTAGGGCGACCCCCATAACTCCTGCCCCCTGGTGGCCATGCCTTTGTGTGGCTCAGTGGTTGAATCATCAACCTGAGCACCGGAGAGTCTCGGGTTCGATTTCCAGTCAGGAGCGCATGCCTGGGTTGCAGATTCCATCCCTGGTCCTAGTTGGGGCACGAGGGAGAGGCAGCCAATATCTCTCTTTCAATCTTCCTCTCCCTGCCCCCCTCCCACTCTCTCTAAAAACCAATATAAAAATATCCTTGGGTGAGAATTAACAATAAGAAAATTTTTTTCAAGAAATAAAAAAGAGTCAGGCCCTTAGTTATACAAGGAAACAAAGTCTGTCAACAACCAGAATGAGCTCAGAAGCAGACTCTACCCTGTTCGAGCATCTAGCTGAGAACGCAGTTTGGCTAGCACCTTGATTGCAGCCTTGTGAGGCCTTGAACAGAGGATCGACCCACAGAGACTGTGAGACAGTGAAGCTGCCCAGCGTCTGGGAATCTGTTCCACAGAAATACAACGCAAACCCACCCTCTCTGCCTCCACCTGGGACAGACGGGCTCCTGCCTCCTGGCACTTGGCATACTACTGCAGCACCCCATACACGGCTCAGGCCTGCCACCCTAAGGGATGCGCTATGGGCCCTTCGGTGTCTTTCCTCACAAGTCATTAGATATTGTCAGAGTTTGAAAGCTGGAAAGGGAGTTTTGAGATTTTTGAAACACATTCCTGATTTTTTTAAAATATACTTTTACTGATTTCAAAGAGGAAGGGAGAGGGGGAGAGACATAGAAACATCAATGATGATAGAGAATCATTGATTGGCTACCCCCTGTACACCCCACACTGGGGATCGAGCCTGCAGCCAGGGCATGTGCCCTGACCAGGAATTGAACCGTGACCTCCTGGTTCATAGATTGACGCTCAACCACTGAGCCACACCAGCCGGGCCCCACTCCTGACTTGGTAGACGGAGGAAACAGTCTCAGAGGGCTTAGAGTCTTACCCTGGGTCACATAAATACATATTTAGGGGCAGATTTGAACATTCTAGCAGAGCAGTTAAGCACTTTGGACTTTAGAGTCGCAAAGAGCTGACTTCAAACCTCAGATCTTCTATTTATCAGTGGTGTGACGTTGGTTAACTTATTTAACCTTTCCTAGATCACTTTCCTATCTATAAAATGAGGATCCTGATAATATCTGCCTCACAGGATTGTTGTGAGGACTAAAAGAGAGCATCCGTTCAACAAAAAGTATTGCACACCCATTATGTGCCAGTTGCCAGAAGTGAAATGGTTAGCAGAGACTGTGGTCCCTGCTTTAGCATTGCCTGTGAAGTGCATAGCTCAGTCTGGCACAGAGCAAGCACACATGTAAAATGTTAGCCATTGTCAATATTATATTCTAGGGCTCCAGGTTCTATTCCAATCACATGCCTCCAGGCAAACTCCATAAATTCACATCATAGAACCTCTTTGTGTCATTCCAACTGCCTATATCCCCTACCCCCCCACCCCACCCCACCCCCGAGAAATTCCATAGGTATCACTAACTCAACATGTCCAACCCAGAACTTACTGTCTTATCTCCCAAACCTGCTCTTCTTCCTATAGTCACAAAGTCATTGGTGAAACCACAAGCCGCCTTGTGTGTCAAGCATGGTAAACCTGGGAGTGAGCTTGAATTCCTCCCTCACCCTCACCTCCCACATCTACTCAATCACCAAGTCCAGACAGGGCTACCCCCTAATTACCTCTTGTTCCCTCTACATTCCCACCACCACGGCCTTGGTTCAGCCTACACACAACTGAACCAAGTAAATACCAGGCTTTTCATGCTCTGGCCACAGCTATCTCTTCTTGACCTATCTCCAGCCCCCTCCACTTTGATGCTGCAATATTGATGCAAATGAAATCAGTTGTACGTACGGGGTGCTCTTTAATTTACATCTCCCACCTCTCCACCCCCACCCCCACAGTTTATAGTCCAGCAAAACCAAGTGCACTGTTTTACGAGTCTGTGTCTTTACAGTGCTTTCCCTCTGCTCTCTGGAACCCTTCCAACTCTCACTTGCTCATTCTGTCGAACTCCATTCACCTTTGAAGCCCAGTTCAGAGGTCCCTTCTCAGAGGCTCCCTAGAGTTCATCCACTCCCTCCTTCGTGCAAAACCTGCACCTCGTGTTAATTTTCATTGGTACAGTAGATTGTAATGGATATGTTTATGTGACTTTCTCCCTCATAGACCATGAACTCTTTGAGGACAGGGCTGTGCCTTCCTCGCATCTGAATGCAGCACCTGACATATAGTAGACACCCAGAAACTTTTATCGAATGACATGAAGCCCATGCTTGCTCCAGAGGGTATATATTTTCTCCCCTGAAACCCACACCCCCCTAAATTATAAAGATAATACATAATAGCTAACACTTTTATCATGCTCTTGTGTGCCCAGGCACTGTAATTTAGCGCTCTGTACATACTAGCTTCTTTAATGCCCACAACAACCCCAAGACCTAGGTACAATTATGATCCCCTTACAGATGGGGAAACTAAGGTGGCCCATCCAGGAGCCAATCCCAAGCTGAGTCTATGCTATATTGGATCCAATTCCTCAAACCCTGGTTAACTACTCATCTTGTTTTGATAAGTTTAGCTGTGATGGCAGTTTCATGATTGACTAAAAAGACTGAAGGGGAATCATTGCTTCTGTAGCTCTGACCACAAATTGCTTGCTCCCCAGTGTAAATATGGCAGCAACTGAGGCTGCACCATCTACCCTTATGATCAAGGCGGGGCCTTTTGCTCCATATCCTTACACAGGCTCCCTTCCTGGGGGCCTGCTTCCAATGTCACCAATGATCCAGCCCCTCTGCGTTCTTATCCGCATCAACTGATGGAACCACACCCAAGCACCACGTCGGTGTGAGCTGAAAGTTTTTTTAAAAAAGCCTTATTAATTCAGAAGAGCTGATGGCCACTGGGCCAGGCAGCCTCCTTGGAACAATGGTCAGAGCCCTTTCTGCCCTTTGTACTCTGGGGCGGCTGAACAATGCTTCCTGGGCACAGGAGAGGCAGTTTAGTTTAGTCCACGAGTGGGTGTGGGGGACCATTGAAATGACTTGCATTGCAACTAAGCTTCTGGGGCTTTCTCCTTTGTGCAAAGGAAGTGGAAATCCATCCAGCCAGCAGCCCTCGGGGACTTTGAACTCACTCATCAGGAGTCAATACACCTTATTCCCAGCTGCTTTTCTTCCGGTCTGGGCATATTGGTGGTAAATGATGATTATGGTAGTAACGACATTGATATTGATACCGATAGTGATAGCAGCTACGCCTTATTGTCCTATTGTCCTGCACACTATATGATAAGTTTCATCATTTCACACACCAGTTGCTAAGAGTCCGTGAACTCAAATGAGTGTGGTAGTCTGAAAATTTTATAGCAATAAGAGTGAAAAACATAGTTTTGTTTGTTTGTTGAAGATGAACATACCTATATTTAAATACACGTCCATTCTTCAGTTAAAATTTGTTTTAAAAAAGAAAACATAAATTAAGTGTTGCAGATATGATATTGGGCTGTGAAAAAACAAAGTAGGATAGTGGGGTAGGGAGTCATGAAGACTCTCTCTGACTACCCTTATGATCAAGGTGGGACCTTTTGCTCCATATCCTTAAACAGGCTCCCTCCCTGGGGGCCTGCTTCCGAAGTCACCAATGGCCAAGTCCCTCTGCACTCTTATCCAAATCAACTGATGGAACCACACCCAAACGCCATGTCGGTGTGAGCTGAAAGTTAAAAAAAAAAAAAAAAAAGGCTTATTAATTCAGAAGAGCTGGTGGCCACTATGTGTGTGCTAAAGTTACTCTGGATGGAATGACCTGGGAAGTTACTCTAGATAGAGTGACTCGGGTAGCCCTCTTGGAAGGGATGTCCTTTGAGCTGAGTCCTGAGTGAGAGAAAGGAGCTAACCCCCGGAAAAGAGGCCCAGGCAGAGGGCCAGCCCGTGCAAAGCCCCTGCAACAGGAACACTGTGTGTCAGGAATGGAAGGATGGCCGTGAGCAGAGTGCCCGTAGGGGAGAAGGACAGGAGATGGAGTTAGAGAGGAGTCAAGAACTGGCTTCTTGCCCAGCTGGCGTGGCTCAGTAGTTGAGCATTGACCTGTGAACCAGGAGGTCATGGTTCAATTCCTGGTCAGGGCACATGCCCAGGCTTGCGGGCTTGAGACTTGAACCCCAGTGTGGGGTGTGCAGGAGGCAGCCGACAATGATTTTCTCTCTCATTGATGTTTCTGTATCTCTCTTCCTCTCCCTTCCTCTCTGAAATCAATAAAAATATCTTTTTAAAAAAAAAGAATTGGCTCCTTAATGTTTATGGCAAAACTGCACAGCTTAAAGTGCTCTGATATTTACATTCAAGTGATGTTTATATCACCTTTGTTTTTTGAGGAAGTTGATTATTCTGTGTTTGGGGGAAGTCTCAAACAGTTAAGGATAGATTTTTTGTTTTGTTTTAGATTTATTTTTGTTTGAAATACATTGAAACTTCAGATGGTTTCTTTAGAGTAATCATCTGAAAACTTTTCCTTTGCCTCTGTCTCTTCTTTATCTACTAAAGATAGCCTAGTTGTTTTATTTTCATTCACACATGGAAAGTTGCTGTTGATTCAAAATTACTGTTATTAAAACAAATTGTTAAACGCTACCCTTTAATTTTGATAATTACATAAGATGCAGAGATATGCAAAGACGATGTAAACTCTACTATCCACTATGCTATAGAGATAAATATTTTGTTTCTTCTATCCTTTTCCCATCTAAAATTAATTTGGAGCTGGAAGCACAATGGCTCTGCATTCCCTTTGAAGGTGAACTGGCAGAGGTAACCCAGGCGAGGCCGAGGCCGTTAAGGAATTCCAGGAGCCAAGATAAAAGTGGGGTGTGTGTCTGAAGCCAAACATAAAAGATGTGACATCCCCAAAGCTTAGAATCATAATAGGGCCTGGAATAGAAGAATTTAGAGACTATCTGAGGACTATCTTTGTTTGTGGAAATAGTGAAGAAATACTCATTAATCCTGTACTTTGTTGCAGGCACTGGGCCAAGTCTGGGGATCCATTGGTGAGCTAAACTAGACTTCTCCCCATAAGGAAACAACTCCTTCCAATCCAATTCCCGTCCCTGCTAATATATTTATTTATTCTGTACCAGCATTGAACGATGGTGCCCTGGGATAGTTGTATTCTTGAGACCGGTGGAAGGCCATATCTCGCGGGTAGGGAGCAGAGTCTTTCTCAAAAGGAAGTTGACATCCCCAGTGTCTATCATCCATGGAAGTTGTTGAATCGGGAATCGGGAAAGAAGGACTTGGAAGGAGCCCTTTGCCTGGAAAGAGAGGGAATTCCTTTCTCCTCTTGATCCCTTGAGGAGGGTTGGCAGGGAGCTTGGTGGAATGTCAGCCCTGTGGGGGACCCTACAATAGGCCTCTGAGAAGCCTGTTACAGAGACTACCTGTGTGCAGGTGCTCTCCCTGGACCTTCAGTGCATCTTGTTGATGCAGCAGCCTGGTCTCAGCTGGGCCGTGGTAACTAGAGGAAGAGTCTGTGTCGAGGCCGAGGTCAAAGCTGTCAAGTGGAAAGCAATGGTCTCTCTTTATAGCCAGCATGAGGCTTACAGGGGCCATCAGTCAGGTGCCTGGGAGCAATTCAGTGTCCGGCGCTAGAGGTCCAGCCTCCTTTATCCATCTGGGAAATCTTCCATGGGTTGTTATTATTGTACATGGAAGGGAGCCAGCTGGTGTCCTTACAGGGTATATCACCTTGTTATTTCAGAACTGGGTGTCAGTTATAAGACAGCAATTCTGTATTTAGTTTAGGTCATATTTAAAGGCTACAGAAAATTTACCCTCTGAGCAGCAAACAGGGAGTCTTTATTATTGCCAGACAGGAAAACATACTATGCAAGTGGTGTGTGATATATCAGTGCTCTTAAGAGCCTAAAGTAAGTTGCTTTAAAATGCCAATTATTATGTAAAAAGCAGGGAGATGACAGGTAAGAACATCAACCTCAATGGAATTGTCCTTTTAAATTAAAACTTTCAGTTTGACTGAGTGTGACACCCGTAACCACCCAGAGATTTTCATTATCGCCAAAGCATTAGAAGGCTGGCACCGAAGCTGCTCTGCGCCCAGCATGTGTGCAAACATGGTCCCTGGCTTCCAAGCTGGTGCCGACAGGACACCTGAGCGCCGGGGAGGAAGGGCACCGCCTGCGTTCTTTGTGCTGTGCCTGTGCGTGTAAGTGCCCCATTACCAGAGGTGTCCCAGACAAAGGTCATGTTCTTCTTTAAGATGATAAACTTCTAGGCTAAAGCTTATTCAGAGTCATGCTGACTTCTCATTAAGCTGTTATGTAACTTTTATTTGCCAAATGATCAACCATTATTTGTACAGTTTGCGATCGCTTTCAAATACTCAGAGCCAACTTTTCTTCCCCCAGTGTAAACTGGCAGGCATATGGTGTTAAAGAAATTTTTAAAGTACAATGGATTTATTACTAAGGGGCAGGGCAACAACCTCCTTTCTTTCTGAGAAGGAAAATAACCCAACTAAATCCATGTACGTTAGAGTTAAGGATGGAAAAGGTCGTGGGGCAGGGGGTGGGGGTGGTTCTAACCAAATGAAAAAACATTTTTTTAACCAAGTATTAAGAGAGAGTTCAGCCTGACCTGTATGTCTCAGTGGTTGAGCGTAGACCCACGAACCAGGAGGTCACAGTTTCATTCCCAGTCAGGGCTCATGCCCCAGTTGCAGACTCAATCCCCAGAAGGGGGCATGCAAGAGGCAGGCGATTCTTATCATTGATGTTTCTATCCCTCTCTCCCTCTCCCTTCCTCTCTCTGAAATCAAGTGTCCGGCAGTAGTTCAGCCTGGTCGACAGGATAATGAGTGAGGATGATTCCAATCCCAATAGCGAGACATTGAGGAAGTCATTCATTCTAACCATTCTTCAGTTAGCTCACCTTAAAAGTGGAGGTAACCCTTCACATGATGGTGTTGGATTAAAAAGTCAAAGTAGTTCGTGCAGAGCTGAATTTTATTTGTTAAAAGGGTTCCTTGAAAATCAAGACATTTAAATTTAATATTAGCATAACTAGATTTAAATATTCATCCCTTTGACTTTCAAAACAGAAAAAGAAGCAGGAAGACATGTACTCACAAAAGCTATCTCAGAGCAGATTCCCACCCTCAGAAGCTATAGGTAGAGAATCCTAGTAGTGCACTGTGAAGACTTCTGGTATTTATAACATATTCCAGCAACAGCTCTAGTGTTTCCTTCTCTTCTTTGATAAGAGATCAAACAAAGGGGTGCGTCCCCCTCCAGAAGCTACCCTTCTTGACAAGCTGGTCTCCGATACCTTTCAGAATCTTACCAAACTTCCAAAATGAACAGAGCACAGGGTTGGTCGCATTCCACTTAAATGCTTTTATTGACAATGTCTTTGAACAATAAGCAAACGATGCTTAAATTTTTCATTCAAATTCACTTTCCACATGTCAAAAGACCTCAAGGTAGAAAAAAATAAAATAAAAATATAAATATCTGAGAATCCATCTTAATAAATAAATTAAAAACACAATAAAACGTTTTCATGGAAAACTGTTAATGTCAGAACAATCATTCCACCTCAACAATGCATGATCAGTAACATTACAATGAACATTGATGTTGAAGAAAAACTACAGTACATAGATATCGCTATTTAACTTCTATCTACTAGAAAATAAAGTCCTATCTTTTCTTAGTTTAATATTGGTCATTGCTAATCAGAACACACTATTGCCAGGAACACAGTAGTTATTGTTAAAATCAGCTGCACTAGATACAATTTGAAAATATCCAGCACCAGGTTAATTCCAATAACGAACCCAATAGA